TGTGTGTGTGTGTGTGTGTGTGTGTGTGTGTGTGTGTGTGTGTGTGTGTGTGTGTGTGTGCGTGTGTGTGTGTATGTTTTATGTTAGTAAGTTTAAGTGTAGTGTGATATTTTTATCTTCATCATCATTTCAATGTACCTTCATAAAAGTCTGTATCATTTTCAACAAAAATGTGACCGCAGTTTGGGACACCGAGTGTTAAATCTAATCTTTATATAATTGGCATTAAATATACAGAAATTGTGGTAAGAGTAACACATCAGCCGGTTCTGCTGAAAGTCTTTTTGCACATGTACACACAGTGTGAAATGTCCCAAACTACTCTTGCTTGATGTGTTGAAAATAACACAATCTTCCAGTGTGTTCCAGTAACACATTATTGACTTACATCCATCAGAGCAGCATTGATGTAGTTGCTGCTTTCTCCATCTATTGTGATGAGGAAGGGAAGGCATCTATCTGGAGGAAGGCCATCCATAAAGCGGTTCTTATCTTGGTTTCTAGGCAACAACGCAATGCTGCAGTCTTCTGGCTGTGGCTGAGGAGTCACTGAGTTTAATGTCTGGACAGAGAGAGAAATGTATGATGTACGTTAATTAAAAGTGTCAAAAGATTCGAAGAAGGGCTCCATGAAGATAGAAATAGACCCAAAAGCCAAGCTGGTGGGAAAGAAAAACTTGTGTGCATTAAAAATATTTGGTTTCTGGAAGTCACAAGGTTCAGCACTGCAGAGAAAGAATTTGATGAGTTTGAGTATCCAGAAACTCCACATAATTATATTTTTTGTGTGTTAAAACCCATTCATTACATCCAGGAGTAGCAGATGACAACAGCAAGTGGTTCCTCTTGATGTAATAATACACAGCAAATGTCTTAATGCCCATATTGTAAAAAGAATTACACAGCAGAACGGGTTAGAGGAGATTTCATTTTAGGACATGAAGTAGGAATTGTTAAAGTTTTGATTACTGAGTTCCATTTAATATTTCAGTACTAGTTTGTGGGTTTTATTAGTATGTTTTTTAACCATTAGTGAGGTGACCTTTCTTGACAGCAGCTATAATTGTCAGTGTTAGGAAGATTTAGTCTGCTGCGATGCCAGGAACAGAACAGAACAATTGTAAATGAAGAGCGCTCTCAGACTCTGAAGACTCTGAAGAGCCCTCTGTGCTGCTTTACCACTGGCCTACACGCTCCACTTTGAAAGCTCTGGGCGCAAAGTAACAGATTACAGTTTGATTTTACCTGGAACTCATCCTTCAGATGGGAAGAGTTGGTCTGGGAGTCGATGCGGATCAGCTCATAATAAGCTGCTTTGAACTCGCAGACCGGTATGGCTGTTTCTCCACAAAGACAAGCCTCTAGTATGGCGTCGTGAATGAATATGTACTGCTCCTGAAGACATATATTATAATACACATATTATCACATATTCTGCACATTCATATTTCAACATTAGAAAAATAAGAAATACAGCTTTGTATAAGACAAACAAGTGATGCACACACTGTGAGTGAGTGAAGACTGATGAGAGGTGGAGGGATGGATGACGTGATGACTGGTGGTTAGGTGTACTTCACCTGTGAGTCAGTCCATACTGGCAGTTGTGTTTTTAGATCTTTCAAGCAAGTGATGCCAACTTCAATTCAATGATGAGACACAGACTGACCTGCTTTGGTGAACGGCTGTGAATGTACTTTGTTACAATGGGTCTTATAAGATGTTAAATTGTTACTCTGTTACCGGCCAATAGTGCAGAATACTTATGTTGGACATGAAATGTGTCCATGAAAGATTGCATCGACCTGCATTCTGTGAGTCACCAGCCTTCAAGTATGACAAAGAATTTAATAAACTTTTAAAAGTTTGCTTTATGCCATGACCTACAGGCTGTTCTGAACCATGAAGCTTGAAATTACTTTTGCCCCATTGTTACTGCACTGCTTGATAGTTTATATATATGATCTGAATTACTATTTGTGGTCTTTTTAATAGGAAAAACATTTCAAAAATATTAATTTAAAGAATAATAACCACTACAGTCAAAGAAGAATCCTCTTTGTTTGGATGCATATACATATATATTATCTATATTCTGTTTAGAACTAACTCATTTATGCTTCTATTATTCTGCAATTATTATTCTATGTATTAAAAAATGTTTAACAACCACAAATTCAGGCAAATCGGATACACCCATGCAGTGACAGATGAATGTGCTTCCTCAGAGAACAGTTCAACGTGATAGTGATTTTTTTTTTACTAACACAAGAGGGCTCCAGAGTAAGCTTTAAATATGAAAATGATGTATGACTTTTACTTATTGTCAGTGTTACATTCACAGAAGTGAAAGCTGACGAATTGAACTTAATGAGGTGATATTTTCATGCATGCATGGAAAATAGGTAACTACATAAAACCTTGTCACCTCAGCCCGTACCATGCTGATGGCTGAGTTTGAAGTCAAGCTTTCCCTACGTCTATATTAAAAATGTGGATGCAGATGGAGGATGGGTAATGCAGTCACCTCAGTCTGTACCATGTTGATCCTCCTGGAGCGAAGAGCCTTCACACAGTTGTAGATGTCGACCACTCCTTCTCTCTCTGCCATGTCCAACATGATGTCAATGACTATGAAACATCCTGTGCGCCCTGCTCCAGCACTGCAGACAGAAAGTGAAGCACACAAATTTTAACTTTATAGATCTTTCTCTATGTCCGTCATTGGGAGAGAAAACATTTTGTTTTGACTATGCATGTTTATTTTCTAATAATTCATTTTTATACCTGCAGTGGACCACAATTGGCCCAGCAGAAGGTGGATTAGACATTTTAACTCTGCGGATGAAGGAAAGAAGTCCTGTGGCATGATATGGAACTCCATGATCAGGCCAGCCTGTGAAGTGGAACTGCTTGACTTCGCGGACCTCATTGAAACCACGCTGAGTAAAGACAAAAAAAACCCATTTTTAAGTAAAATTTCATGAAATGTGTTTATTCTATAAACACCCTTTCTAGATATGTCTCAAACTTATTAACTGGTTTTGTTGAAGCTACAAGGAGGACGATAAACAAAACCAAACAAGTCTGTGTCAACCAAACTACAGCTAGAGGTGCAGCTACACCTCTACCTGAGTTTTTTTGCATAAATTACATCAAAGCAAAATGCAAAATGAATACAAAATATAAATTTTTGCTAGATTATAACAAGTTTTACTCACCCTCTCCAGTGTAAATGTGCGAACCACATATTCAGCGAGTGGTTCAACCTCCACAAAAGTCACCTTGAAGTCTCCATACACCTCAGCATCATCTGGCCAGTATTTATAGCACTTAACCTAGAAAGAAAAAAAGCCATGAAAAAATTAAGACAAGCTTGAATCAAGGAGCAAATATAGCTTGTTAATGATATTTAATGATATTTAATATGATGCCAATATGAAAAACGCCACTTTTAAACCAAATATGTTATACATAATTTAGAGAGTATATTTTACAGGATTGTTGACAGAGACATCACACTAACATTCTTGCAATTTTCCTACCTAACTGTAAATATACAGGTATTTGCAATAGCACTTGTAAATGCAGTGGACATTGCTGAATTTAAAAAAATGAGATTTGGATAGTTTTGACTAAGTAATAGTAATTTTAATAAAGTTACCAACTGAAATTAACTGAGTGTAGAAAAACGAGCAACTTACCCTTCCAACCTCCACCAGATTGGTTACCATCACAATGCAGGCTGACTGTTCCTGCCAAACCATCCTCCAGAAGTCATACACTGTCTCATGAACAGGACCTACGCATAGATGCAGAGTATACTTTCACTTTATTCTGCTGTAAGTACGGTTACAATTTGTGATTAAATAGTTGCTATGCTATAAAACAGCAGTAATGCAGAATTCCTGCATGTAATTGAGAGTGGTGCAGCATCTTACCCTGTGTAGCAATGTAGTGACTTGGTCTTTGGTACCCCTGCAAACAGAACACCACAGTCCTTAATATGAGCTGAAAACATAATCGTTTTATCACGGCTGGAAATGATAACTTTCTACACTAAACTACCTTACTACCTCACTTTCATCTACAACAGGAGAAAACTTCTGACAGACTGATGAAATTCGTTTTTAGCTGACTCCATACTTGAGTTGCACTGCATACTGTTGAATTCATGTTAAAATGTGCAAAGTTGGTCATCTCATCATTTTTCCTTTCCACTTAAAAACTACTACTTGACATCTACAACAACTGCCAGGTGTGCCGTGGGCTATGACAACCACTTATTAAGTTGTCATTAAAGCAATTAAGACACAAGTGGTGAATATGCATATGCAAATTGACACCAAACAGTGAGATGCAAAGACGGTGGTTGGTGGCCAAGATGAAGTGCGATCAGTCATGCAAAGGATGCCCCAGCATCTCAAAATGGATACACATCATGTCTTGATGCATAAGGACTGGTTCATGGATGTACAGGTGAGCAGGTGTAATTGTTCAGGGGCATTTATGAACAAGACCACAGTGATACTTACATCCCTGTACAGCCAAATCTACAGCCCAAGCCACAGGCAGAAAGAACGAGTGGAAGAAAGAAAGAAAGCACAACAATGTCAGTGAGTGTCAATCAGAAAAAAGAAAAGCTGCATTGACATAATGGAAGTTTGATCAGGACATGCAGAAAAAAAATGTGATCTAAAACTCCAAATTAGACTAAATAGAGAGGACACTCCCTAATGGAATTTGACCATCTTCCATGGAGAGCACAATAGAACCAAAAAGACTCAGAAAGCTGGCATATCACAATCTCATTTAACCACCATCACATACTGATGTTCCAGCTTTCTCCGTCTTTTGGGTGCAGTTCAAATTGTGTGACAGCTGCCTTTGTTGTGCCAACAAAGATTAGGGAGTGCCCACTCTATTCATTCTAATTCTAGCTTAATGTGAGTGGTAGAATGCATGCAAGAGTTTTAATGACAGTAAATTATAATACAGTGGAGCTTATGATAAGCATACTAGCATTAAAAAAGCACAATGTGAGTCGTAGTGACTGGTGTGCAGATGATTGTTGAGAGATGACAGAAAATGGATGAACTGATGAAGACTGTGTCGTGGTTGAATGCAGAAACAATAGGCAAGTAATAGATGAAGCAAAAGATGGAAAATTAATTGTATATAGATGTATAAGGCAGCTGAATAGGTTTGTCGAACAGTTAAAAGTGACTCAAGTCAAGAAAAATGCTAGAAATTAAGCTACCCTTAGAACCTGATTAGCTTAGCTTAGCTTAAAAAACTACTCAAATGCACAAAACTGCTGGGTCCATCCAACAGTAACAAAACCTGCTGACCATCACCTCTAAAGCTCACTAACTAGCACTGTCAGTTCTTAAAGTCACTCCTTTAAATGGATTTCTTTCTGGTCTCCTGGAAAACGAGTTTGCTAAATCCAAATGATGACTTAAAATCCGTTATGTTGTACATATAAATTCAGATAACTTATTCAGTTCTGGACGGACAGGTGAATTGATGGGGAAACTTGAAAGAAAGACAACAAGACCGACACCTGAGACAGACACATGTACTGCATGTATGATGTGTTTTCTGCATGGCTGGATGCATAAAATGGTATGATGAATGACTGGTAGACGCAATCAAGGTATAGAGGCCTGACATACGAGCGAGGGAGTGTGGTTTCGTTGGTTTCGTTGGGAGCCAATAGTAGCATTCGATGCGTTTCCACTTACATCGATGTAGTTGGCGTTGATGTAGTCGGAGGACGGGTCGTCTTCTATGGGCTGCAGAATAACCCTTGAATGGTCATCTAAGAAAACAGTGTGTGAGAGAGCAGCAGAAACAGACAGGTAAGAAAGGTGATTTGCTGTTAAAGAATTTTTATTTCAAGGTTTTCATGGTTTGCTGTTTTTCTGAATTTCGTGTTTTGGCTTTCTATTTTTTTATTCAGTGTGTAGTTGGGATTTAATAAAATAATTTAACAAGGTGTTCGGTTCGGACGGAGTCACACAGAGTAGTCTAGAGACAACTTGGCAAAAATCTGTATTTCCCAATCGGATGGTGAGTCAGAGGTTGTTTTTAGTCGGTAGGTTTACAGTTCTGTATCAAAAACCTTGCGATTTCTTTGGTTGCTAGCAGATTGCTACAGTAATCCGTACTTTGCAAGAAAACACTTGTCTGCCAATCCTCGCTAACTACTCACTGAATGGAAGTGAAACTGTGAAGGAAGGTGGAAGAGTTTTGGTGCAGCAACCTCTTTGTATTGCTTTATTCATTATTTTACATGATAATACAAACAACAGATTATATGTAACGTTCTATATACAAATAAATCATGCCAATAAAATTACAACAGCTGTCAATAAGCATGGTTATGTATGTATGCAAGTAAGTAGCATGAGACCCTTTTGTGACTCAATTTTTCTGAGTCTGGGGACTCAAGGAACACAAGGAAAACTCTTAGAGTCAAGGCAGAGGCTGAAGAGGTGATTGAGCTTTTGAAGATGTTGCTCATTGATTCTTTTATTGTTGCTTACAAAGGTGGTTTTTCTTTGGTCCTGTCTTGATTTTAAACCTTTAATTCTGCGGGCTGTACACTTACTTCTGCTCCCAATTTCTTCTTCTCTTCTTCCTGTAAAGCTCTATGACTTAAAATGCAGTAACGCAGATGTCTTGCTTACATGCTATGATATTCCCGTAGCGGTTTTTGGTACGATTCTGCTCCTTCTTGGCCACGTCCCAGGAGGCCGACTGGCCCTCAAAGAAGCTCTGTATCACCAACAACACACGAAGTAATAAAAATACAATTAGATGTCATGGATCCTTAAAAATAACACTTCTGTACTATTGCATATATCTGAGAGGAAAGTGGTACTTAGGTGCTTTTCGACTTTTGTTCGACTGGTTTGATTCAACTAGCAAATTCTTATTAGACATTAAAATAAAAGGACCATAAAAATGGCTTGTGTCTCATTGATTGTTCAGTCGATGGAGCAGAAGGTACCCTCAAATTAAGAGGCAATTTAGACCTGGTAGTCATTTTTTCATTTTAATGTGAGGCCAAAACATTAAATAGAGCAGTATTGATTTTAGAAATAATACTTCTGTGTCAGCCTCCACATTAAAATACATCATTTCCTGCTACTAATAATACTTTTGCCTCTTCTGTAATTAATATTACAAGCTCTAGTGTCAACAGTACAGATAATAATCTTACTTCATATTCCTCCTTGAAGCCATAGCTGTCAGATGTTTTCATTAGGTTGATGTGCTGCAGGAGATCGGCCACTCTGATGGCTGGGTGGAGCTGTCCTGTCTGATAAGGAGACTCAGTTCCTTCACAGTGATACCGAGGAACATCTAGAAGCCTGCTGTTCTCGGCTGCAGAGCCAGTGTGGTTCTCATCTACAACAGGAGACAAAATAAGGTACGGTTAATTGATAATTCGCAAAATATCTTCCCTTCATTTTATTTTATCTTCATTAATATTTTATTTTATGACCCCTATAATGGGTAACATAGATACCAAAGCATGTAAACTCTTATTTGTACCTTGAAACTGCACGTGTGGAAAGATACTTGTACTGATCTATACAAACACAACAAGCTTTCCCAATCTTCCCAAATCTGTACCAGTTTTTAACTTACAAAAATAAAACAGTGCATTTCCTCAAACCAAACCAAACATTTGCCACTTTGTTTTCTCAGTTTATACTCACCTGTGATTGGAACTACATGTCAAAGCAGCAGGAAAAGAAAAGAGCAAAAAGGGCTAGTCAGACTGCAGGATAAGTGGATTTGTTAGCGAGACTAAAGGTTAGTTTAACAGTTTGGATTTGTTTATAAGGACTTTCCACGATGGATGAAATGGATACAGAGAATTTGTAGATGATGTCGTACAAAAAGGACCAAAAATTGCCACAAGATGCAGAAACTGAAAAACATGAGGAATATCTTAAAATGAATTGTGAGGTGGATGTTCACTGCAATGTCATTTAGTTCACAATAAACAACCACGTTCACAGCAGATTAAAACATTTGTTGCATTCTGCTGTTCTAAACCTTTCAAACACACTGCAAATATATTTAAAGAAGTAAAACATCTGTTTTTTAAATGTGGAATAAAATAACTAACTCAATCCCCAATAAGCAATCAAGAGCTATAGGAGTGCTTCCCAAAAATGTCTCTGTGGTGTAGTAGTTAACACCTTACATGCAAAAGATCCCTGGTTTGAGACTGGGAGGCAAGACAGACCCAGCCACGGAGGGTCACAAGCCTCCATAAGTAGGAAGGATGCCAAATAAAACAAGTGGATCCATCTGCTGTAGTGGGCAAAAGGGAGCAGCTGAAAATACACGTACCGTAAGTGATTCCCAAAGTGTGTTTTTCTGCCCACTTTGTGCACGTCAAGATGTGGGCCATATATGGTGAGAGGTTAAATTGAACTACTATTATAAGCCCGTGTGAGTTATTTATTTGTTTTTATTTATTGTTATTGTTTTTATTTGTTTATATGGCCTGTTTTTAATCAGGAATGTCCCCTTTATCTCATCAATGGTGGAGGAAAGGTTCAAATGGAGCAGTGACCAGCAGGTGGCAAAGCAAAGCTTTTAAGCTTGTACACTACAACCAAATCACTAGGTCGATATCACATCTTTGTAATGAGAAAAGAGGAAATGTTGTAAACTGATGAGAGTTTTTATAGAAGGTTTAGATTAGCATCAAAGATTTTCACACTGGGCTTTTTATACTCCAGGAATGGTTGTGGTATATTGCAGAAATTTAGAGGTATAATTTACATGTGTGAGTACCGCCCCTCTGATTTAATTTTTTTGGATTTTGAAACTTGTACATTGTAGGAGGTAGTTCATTTGGAGGTTATAACTGGGGTTAAACAGTTGCAGAACTTCAAAGTGCGCTGTGGTTAAAATGTGACTTGACAGTTGTAATGTACAGACTGACAGGTTAAATAATGCAGTAGCTCAGGGTTGGAGCAGAAGCGGCTGATTTCATCTTCACCGCTGTTTATTAACTGACACTGTTTATTTCATCCAACGGATGCTTTTCTCTGCTCTGAGGACATGTTAGCTCATTACTGATTGTTAAAGGTTTGTTAAGCCCTCGTCACGGCAATTAACAGTAAACTTGACCCGACACCGCCTCTTAATTTGTTACTTCCTGCTAGTTCTTCTTCCTCTGTGAAGTGATTGGCCAAGACAGATTGTAACTGCAGCCTTCACTCCAAATTAGAGGCTATGGAACAGTTAATTAACACAGTTTGGTGGCACTGTGGTTTGTGAACCCCTTAAGGGTATTTCAGAACTCCACATCATGCTGCAGTGTCAACACTAGACTCAACTACAGATAAACACATTGCACTGCAACACTGAAGCTAGAGAAACATCCAACTAGCCAAAAGCTACATATTTCACGATTCAGACACTCAGAGCAGGGTTTCAGCACAAAACAAGTCCAGGGAATAACACAGATGGTAGATACTCAAGTAGACTTCTAGATCCATTGCACAGAAAAACTTCTGCCAGAGAGACAAGGCTGCAGGCACTAAGTTGTTCAGTGTTGTCACAGATTTAATCAGCAGTCATTTTGCTGTGGCAACATGACAAATTGTCTTCCTCCTTTTAAGCCTTCTTTTCTGTCATTTTTGGGAGACAAAATGGCACGGCTTAAAACAACTCAAAACTGTGGAAATAATGAGGTCTCTAAGGGAGAATGATGGCAATTACTGTGAATATCAATAACTCGCAGCAGGAAACAGAAACCATGGCTGGAATCGGGAATGACTGAACCAAAGGGAAAACGCAGGATGACAGATGAAGTGCTTAGCTGTTGGAGGTTTTTTTTACACCAGACATGTTCTACACAGAGAGTTGGCAGAAAAATATAAAAGATGAACATAAAGCTTTGCCAACTTCACATATTCTAATCTGTTATACCTCTTTAAATTTTCCTTGATTTGTTTTTGGTCTTTTTTTTTTTTCGTCTTTTGAGAATTAAAAACCTAATGCTCCAGAAACATCCAAGAAAGCCATACTTTTGTCAAAGGTCACTATAACATACGTTTGACTATATCCAACAGCTCTAACTATAGACTTCAGTTATGGACACAAAACAGACGGGATAATACGTGCTAGGGTTACGAGCGCAAGGTCTATTTGATGATGGTAGGTGATCACTAGAGGTGATACATGTGACATATCCAACACTAGAAGTCTCACCTAACACAGCAGTGGGAACCAGAGGATCGTTGGGCACTGCAGGAGGAAACACGGCCAGGAAACATTAAAATTTCAGATTTACTAAAGCATAGATGAGGACAACTGAGACAAATCACAAATTCTGGCAAGACCTTACTATTTTCATCTTTTTTTTTTCTCATCGCTGTCATGTATGAGTTCTACATTTATGCTGTCCTGTTTTCACTGTGAGCTGTTGTGAATTGATTTATAGACAGAACCTTAACTAGCAATGATTTAGATACGACTTTGGTCCATCATTTAAGTCTTTTTCCAGGCAAAACAAAATGCAGGTTAGATCCTTGTTTGGCAAACAAATAACTAATTATTTTTCTGCTTATTGTTATAAAAGTGACAATTGAATAAAAAATACTTGATTGCTAAAATATTAACTAATTGCATTAATAATTGTTTGTTGCAGCTTCTGAACAGGAGCTTGGCTGTTGATAAAAATAACCCTGATCTTTGCAAAGATTCATCTCTAATTAGTGTGGACAGAAGATGGATAGGAAAACAGAATGTAAGAGCCATTTAATTAAGGGTTTTTGTGTTTGTAAAACCTTGATTTTATGAACCTACATCTGTTGTTGTAGTTGTGAGAGTCCATAAATGTCACAGCCATGGGGTCCTCGCCATGCAGAGTGCTCTGGTCAGCATAGCTGCGGTCCATAGCGTTCACCATGTGTGTCATTTCCTGCCGTGTTGTTCCAATGGCATCTTTACGTTTTTTTGCCAGTTTCCTGTTAGAGGGAGATAGACAGACAGTCAGGAATTGTGAAAAACAAATACACAAACATGAGGAAGCCTGAAGCCACAGCAAGAACGAGAGAATCTAGCAGCTGGATCACTTTTCGGCTGGGGCTGCTGACTCAAGATGCAGAGTTTGAAACCAACAATATGGAAATGGGAGAAGAGAAGAAAGGCAGGGAGAAAAAAAAGAGAAGAAGGAAAGAGAAGAGAACAAGCAAGGAAGGTAGAGGAGAGGCTTTTTTGTATATGGCAGAATTTAACAGGCTCAGCAAAAGGAGCAAAGGGAAAATACTGCAGCATCTAATTCAAACCAAGGAAGAAGATCTTTTTTTGTAGCTTACAGCTGTCAGATGAAAGCCTCGAAACTTTACCGTTCCCTCCATTTTTACTTGTATGAACCTATTTTACTAGGACTATAATAATAGAAACTAATTACATATTTTTTCAAATTGTATGAATTCTTTGGTTTTCATCTGACAGCAAAGTTCAGGTGAATCCCACTAAAACAGAAGCAAGGATTGAGCTAGAATGCACAGAACCCTTAAGGAAAACCATTTACCAACCAACAGTTATCACCATGTAAATAGTAGAACTTGAACTACTCGTGTCACAAATAGTCAGTTATGAAGGGTGGGACACTGATTTTCAATCTCTTATGCAGCTTTACCAGCTGCTGTGAATTTTAGAATTAAAATGTGTTGCTTTCACAATTTGAAAAACAAACAAACAATCAGAGTAATGAGAAATTACGTTTTATCATCAGTCTGGTACCTGATTAAATAGATATCAAGATCAAATCATTTTCATATTTAATCTTTCGGTGTTTTCAACATACAAAGTTGCAGGGAAACACTTTTAAGGACTTATTATGTCGAGCATGACACATCATGCAGGAACATTATGTACCCAGAGCCGTAGATGCACATCAGTTAAGACAACAGCTCTTAGTTACTAAATTTCTATGCGGTATACAAGAAAATCTCTACAGCTGAAACACAGAGAGCCTGTAGGCAGAGGCGATAACATCGTGTGCATTTTATTGGCTACCAATCAGTTTTTGATTGCTGTCAAACTGATGCAATGTACAGCTCTGACTGATAGAAAGCATGCTGTTTATTGTGCATATTTTACCTCTTGACCCCAACTTACACCATCTCCACCTCTGAGATCACACACACACACTCAGTAGAAACATAGATTGAACTATTGACCAAATGTATCTACTTGTGTGTGTGTGTGTCTGTCATAGAATTACAATATTTGCAAACTATATAAACCACCACATGCTGAGTACTTTCTCAATATGTTGTATATATAAGAAGAAAGGAGAGTGAGAAAGAAAAAGAAAGGTGAAGCTGAGACCAGACCTAGAATGGATCTACTTTTTCTTTTTAACATTGTCATTATTTTCTGATATTCACACTTGAACTGCGAATTAATTTGAAGTTCTGTATGAATTCATAAAAATGCATGAATGTCTAATGAACACGCCTAATTACTAAAATTGCAAATGAATTCCAAGACACCAGGCAGAATGTCTTCACTGATGAGGAACACGTCGAACTTCTTAAGGTGCACTGGAATAAATGGATGGCTTAGACTAGCTATGTTAGGAAAAAAGGAGACACTGTAGAACCAAAATTTTGTTCCTGATAATGTGTTTTAATAGATGTAATATTAGAAAACTGCTACTTAATGGTAAACAGTAAAATGCAGTGGTTGTAGCAAGTTCAAAAAAATTCAGCAAAGCAGTCATCCTAGTTTAGAAAGAAATGTTTCATTAAACTACTCCACGGGAACGTTAAGGTACAGTCCTGCATTGATACTCAGCACATCTTGATTTTTAGTCTGGTGATTGTGAATAAAAAGAAGCAATGAGAGTGAATTAAAATATCTGAGGCAGTACAAATAATTGATTCATGATCCATCTTGGTCAGAGCCCATAATGGCCTGGGTAGAGAAAGACGTAAACCAAAAAAGAAGAAAAAACCATCATAAGAACAACCCACACAAAATCATAGACCACGTATCCCAAATAGGAAACCAACTAGTTCAGATCCACTGACGAGAGAGAGAGAGAGAGACACTGAACATGTGCAGCAGAGCTTTACCATGATACCTGTGACTTGATGGGCGGATGGATGATCACATGACTACATGCACACAAAGAGCTACAAGTCACAAGTGCAGCATTCTTTTTTCAAATAACACGCTCAGGCCTGTGCCGTCCCACTCTGGCCTGCTTGGGTCTGGTTTATGGCCAACTTTGGCCTTCTTAAGCCTGCTTCAGAGCAACTTTGGAGCATGTAGAGGACACCAGGGCTGAGATCAATTCACTCTCAGTTCAGTCCTTCAAATAAATTCTTGCACTCATTCATTGCTTGGACTTTTTAGACAGGAAATCATCAACATTCTCTTGGTAAAAACAAAAAAAAGAAAGACAATTTCGATATTTTGAAAATATCAAAATCATTTAAACAATAAGGAATTAATTGAAATCCTGAACAGATTGACATGAAAGTGAACTGACCCCCTCCCTGGTGAGGCGTCAATGAGGATGACTTTGGCTGGTTGGTCAGAGCTGAAAATGTGTTTTGTCTTGAAAAAAGTATACTGCATCTTTAAAAATAACAACAACTAGCCACTAATAATTCGCCCAATAAGATAACAGCAGCTGGATGAGCTGGTTGTTGATTGGTTGTTTACTTACAGGTAATAAGAGTATGAATAGTAGGTCCTCCTGGGGTTGTGAGCCAATCAGAAAGCAAAGAGTGAGACACAAGGGAATATGCAAATTAGGACAAAACTGTCCTGTCTCAACCAGTAACAACAAAAACAGAAGAAAACACCCTTTGATTGCTAAAACTTGAGGGTCATGCAAGGGGTGCCATATTAGCTAAAGTACCTATTTCTTACTAAGAAAAAAAAAGAACCAAAGGCTAACGCTAAATAAATAGTACAAAACAAGCTACGAAACTTGAATAACAACTCACCAATATCAACCTATCACCATGCAGCCTTTCTTTTCTCTTTTCTTTATTTTTTGTGCCATTTAAAAATATTCATGCAGTATTTTAAAACTTTACTTTTTACTCTAACCCGATGGCCGGATTAGAGATTTAACCCTAATCAGCCAATGATCTTTTTTTTACGCACTCCTACAAAATCCTCGGTGAAAACTAACACAAAGCTATCCAATCTGTAAAACCAGGCAGCTCGCTTCCTGTAAAGCAAGCATGATGTCACTGCAATGTCATCATGTCCCACTATTTTAAAGATGCAGTATTATTGTTCAAAGTCGTAAAGGTTTAATGACAATGAAGATTGATCTCCCCAGAAACCTTTATGGAAGAGAAAACTATTACATTTTTTAAAAAAAATCACAAAAATCTAGAGCACTAGTGATGCATAACTTGTCAAACTTCCAGTAGTAATGTGTGTAAAAATACCAGAATGAACATGTCACTTTAAGTTGTTGCCACAAATTATTTGTGTGTGTTGTAAATGGGAAGTAAATGGGACCACAGTGTGCTGTCTTTGTGTTGTGATTCAAGCTGCTTAAACAAACAGGAGCTCTTGCACTCCTTGTATAAACAGCCTTATTTTATACTATCAAGCATATTTATGTGAAATGCATAACTTCACATTAAGCTTCAAAGCCCCAACAATACCACATACTAAATCCAATCCAATACTCAAGGGATGAAAAAAGTTAAATGAGTAACAGCAATCAAGCCACTGAGTGCACACAGTGTTTCAAATACTGTTAGATGTGACAAAAATAAACACCCTGCAAAACACAGTGGTAGTAGCTCCTGCAAAACACATTTCAAATGGACCATCTACCCTACACTTTAAGCTCAGCTCCTCTGATCATCACTTACAATTGCACTTTCACACTAAAGCTGCAGCATGGACGCTGGCTCGCATTAATTCATTACGCAAATTAGAAGAAAAATATGGAGGTCAGGAGCCACAAGAGCAAAGTTCTCTGATGATGAGAGATCATTACTGGCTGTGATTTAATGTCTGTAATTGTTTTTGATTTGCTGAGTGTAATTATGATTGGTTGTAACTGAGAGACTCTTCCTGGTTGCTCTCTTAAGGCTTGTGCCAAGATGCAGTCCTTCAATTTTTTCAGAGGAAAGCAAAATCTCCTGAGACGTTTTCTTAAATTGAGGATGAGTCATAATAACTAATAGGTAAGCCAAACGATTAATGTGAATAGTTTTACTGAATGTTCAGGGTCTCTGTTAGTGGAAATTAATTATTCTTAATTATTTCTAATTATTCTTTTTCAAGTGTGCACTCCCTCAACTATTGTAAGTAAAAAGTTAAAATCGCAGAAAAAACTAATTTTTTTTAGGAATTGTTAATTATTACATGCATGCTGGCGCATTTACATAAATTATAAATGCAGATGCAAACACATACACATGAGCACACATTCTCCCAAAAGTAGTCAGACAAAATTTAGCCTAATGGAGCTTCACAGTGGATCCAAGACTAAGAAGGTTATATTAAAACGCTGTTTCTTGTCACTGCTTTTCCAACTTTCCAACACTGTTAACGAAATGGTAAAAATCATATTCAGGGATTCATTTATTTCATTAAGGTTCTGATTATCATCATATTTTACTAGTTTTCAAAAATGTCTTGAGATTATACTATGACTGCAGCAATACTGATGTTGTTGTATACATATGTTTTACTCGTAGTGAATGTGGAAAAGTGGGACTAAAACCATGATATTTCATAAACGCAAGGCCGCTATACATGCATATTCCATGAATACGTCTGTGCATTTTCTCTGTATTTTCTACAAAATCTATCAGAGCTTTATTCTAACTTCTGTCTTCATCTACTGTAAAGATGTACCTATTGTAAAGCATGCTCAGGCTGTAACTGTCACTATCCACCACATAGTGGAGCTCTGCACCAAATTAACAATACAGGCCAAACTGCTACACCGACACATCTCTGGTCTCTGATTCTTATCAGAGCTATTGTGCTGTACAAGTAAAAGGTTAGATATTGTATGAATCCGTTTACATTTCCCTTAAAATAACAGCACAACTATAAATGCACAAAACCATTTCAGCAAGCATCTTTTCTTCAGTCTGCTTCACCAAAATCTCCACCTTTGTGCAGAACGGACCTAAGCTTTGCTGCTTCTAAACTGACAAACATGATACTGTTTTGATGATTTTGATGAGTTCATTTAAGCGGTTATGATAAAGCAGATACATAATTTCCTTTTATATTTACTTAAGATCTTTTGATTGACATTTTCTTTCACTCTACCTTTTCCTACTTTCACTTGAGAAAACAGCTGTAATGTGCAAGAACACAATACATTCAGCTCTGACATTTCTTGTACCAGATCATCAAAAATTAAGACAGCATATTTTAAACATAAAACATTTGGGGGGTTTTCACAAGCCTTTAGCCATTTGGTGGGAAATTAAACTTCAGAAAGCGATTGAACTGGTTCTGAGGGGAGATCAACATTTATGGTGGATGGATGGAAGATGGTGTTACTACAGCAAATACTGGACCAACACACAACAAGAGAATGAACTAAGAGCATATTTGTGTGTGTATGTGTGTGCACGCATGCAAGTTGGTGTGTGCATTCAATATTGGTCTTGTAAATATTTACCCTCTTTAATAATCTTCATTGAGCTGCTTTAGTGAGTATTGTTTGCAGTTGTCACTCACCTCTTCTTAACCAGCAGAATGGCTACCAGCACCAGCAGTATGAAAACGAGAACACCAGCACTAATTCCAGCGATTTTCACCACCCGATCCGTCTGCTTAGCAGGGTCGGGAATGACTTCTGGTTCCTCTGTGGCACCTAAGAAAGATGATGACAAAAGACATCAACAAGATGGGAACACAGTAACTACTAAAGGGAAAAAGCATTAAAATCACTGTCCAGTAAGAACACACTTGGGATTATTTGTGCACTCCTGGAAGTTTCAAGGAAAACTGAGTTTTCAAATTGTAGGAGAAATAAATAAATAAATAAAACCTCGAAATGTTGCAAAAAAAGGAAAATTTTAATTGCAACGGTATTTAAAGAGAGTTTTAGAGTTTACTGGACAGTAGAGATTAAAAGTATGTTTATTTTTAACTGTTTATTAGCTAACCAGCTCCTGACCAGTTGATATTCTTCCTATGTTTAAAAAAATGTCTAGTTTCCACCGAAGTAAACGTTTTTAAAAACGAAAATGTTGTGGTCAGGCTCACTAATATTCAAACTCTTTGGAGGTTTTTAGCAGATACACCTGTGGTATCACTTTGAAGCTCCTACATCGTGGGTGTCCATGCTGACCACCCAACCACCTGGTGGTGTGATGACAACACCCCATCAGCTTTTTACGACTGAGGGGTAAAAAATAAAGAAGAGGGGAGAAAAGCGCCAACGACTCCTATGTTATGAGTTTCGATGTTGCATATTTTGCCCACCAGAGGACTCTTTTAAACCTCCCAGTTGGCAACATTGAACCCCGCAAACACAACAACCCACTGATCTGCGCGGAGTTGGGCAGAGCATAAGATGAATAATCTACAACTTGGTCTAACAGCAAATCAAGATTATCTTAGTAACAACTTGTTATCTTAGTAAGGACATATAAATAACTATAATTCGGACTCTTGTGAAAAGCTTCTTTTTGTTTTCAAAACAGCATTCTGAAGAATTAACTAGCCAAATAACACGATCAACCATTTAAGATTTCCAAGAATATACAGCTTTTTCAAACCTAGTCATATCTCTAAACTTATTACTCTGTTGCACTGACTGTAAGGCATATTTAAAAAAGCCCACGTCGCCTCAGGCTAGGAAAGTATACCATCTAAGGAAATATGGTTGTTTTTCTCTTAGGCTGCCTTCACATCAGACAAAATCTAGGTGATTAATTACTAAGGTTCAATTATCCCTGTGCTAAAGTTCAGGCAAATATCAAGCATCTAAATATGCCTTGTAAAGAAAAGTTAAACAGCTGCTAGCACAAATGCCATGGCAACTGTCATTCGAACTGTAAATATAATCAAATATTTCATTTTGGGGGTAATCTGGGTCGCATATTTAAGTACTTAAATCAACAGAAATTTCTTCATTAATATGGTTGCTATGTAATAATGAAACAAAGAGATTGCTTCTACAGCTTGAACTGTATTTGAACATTTTCAGAGCAGGTGTTTTAAAATTGATTCAAGACCAAAAAAAAAAAGGCTATAAAAAGAGATGCATTTCTTGTTGAACTTAAAAATACAATCCTGTAAAAAAAGCAGTGGTAGAGAATCAGTGGAAGCTGACAATGGCCTATACCAGCTTCTATAGCTGGGTCAACTGAGCCAAAAGCACTCACCTTACACAGACATCGGCTTCTCATTTATTTAGTCGCATTATACATGATGGCAAATGTACTACACCGAACTAAATCATCAATCAAATCTGACTCCCAGCAGCAATATTCAAACATTCAAAATAAACATCCCTATAAATGTACACTATAGTAGTGAAAATAACCAACTGAATGTCTATGTGTCTTCTCTGCTGCCTCTTTGGCATCACGGTCTCTTTAGAAAATGCTTTTAAAATGCAATTTAACTGTAGCTGTCCAATGTTTCTGCACCAATGTCACCATATATTGCTTGTAGCCGAACTCATTTCTGCTTCTGATGACTTCAGAGAATTGACTGAACTCCCTGATTTCGTCTGTTTTGGAAAATAATTCACCAGTGACGTTTCAAGCGGAGTGTAGGCTGCAGGGCTTAAATGCTGTTGATCATGGACAGAAAGTCAACAGAAAGACAGAGAGCATCTGTTTTCAGGCTCCCAAGCTCTACTTAGTTGATGTCATCAGAACAGTTCATACTGCAGCGTAAGAACATTATCATGTCTTATGATAATCCAAATAATCCAACTCAGTGACATATGCACAAAATTCAACATAATGCAATACATGCATCAAACAACAACCCACTTCCATTATCAACATAATAAAAATAACACACAAGAATAAAACATTTTTAGTAATGCCTTGACTTCCACAGCCCCACATCAGTCTTAGCACCAAACCAATTAATTCCTAATGTCACTCAACCTAAAGTAAATAGGGTCTATTTTGAGGTCTATTTTCATTGGTGGATAAATACCTATTTGGTGCTTCAGTGAGTTTTTACAGCATCGGGATGGTGTTTGTGTGATCAATCCAAAATAAAATACAATACCCAAAGCAGTGAGGGATCATTGTTGCTCACTAATGTGATTTTAATCGTTTCTGAGCCTGGGCAGCAGAGCTCCATCACAAAGAAAGACTAGAAGAGCCAAGGCCAACGCCCTCCCTCCATCACAATTATCAAAAAAAGCAACCCAGACCTGCACCAAAACGTAATGGATTCTTCCTTCATCTGTCATGTTTTATGAAATTTGGACTAGTAGTTTTTGTGTAATTTTGCTGACAGATGAACAAACAAACAGAAACAGCATACCTCTATCTCAGCTCTCTGTCCGGGCAGAGGGATGAGATAAATCAAGCTTTTACTATGCAGCCAATACTTACTAGGTTTGTTTATGGTAAAAAGTAAAAATCAAGATATTTGAAAACAGAGAATGCTTAAACTGATTATGCAGAAAACTAAGTGTAAAGTTTTATGTTGTTTATATAGCTTAACCACAGCTTGGCATAATGACATTATATTGTCTTTTTTTCTAATTTTGTGATTTTTCATTTTTTGCACTTCTATACCAGCAAATAAAGGGCCCTGCTGAGTAGCTACAAAATCTGTTCATCATCTTAGTGCTGATGTACGAAGGCCAAACTTTATTTTAGATGACTTCCACATGGAACGTCTCACTTCATATAACTATCCAACCAAGAGACTATTAGAAGATCACACAGATAAAATATGTCCAAACAAGACACACCAAAACAACAACAATAATCCTTTAAGGGTTCTCAGCCTAACCTCATAATGTCTGCGGAAGCTCTTAATGTGTGTAAAAATGATTCAGGTCAGTACACTAACACTCACAACTTGCCTGCACACAGGCGCACAAAACGCCCTGCGGCAGGAATGACAATACACAATACCCCGAATGACCTACTATGACCACCATCACTTAATCCTCCCTCCCGGATGCATGGTTGAATGCACATAAACACACATGCAGAGAGACGGAGAGAGTAAAGAAGACACAGTGGTCTGACCTCTCGATCCATTAGTGTGTTGGTCTCTCTTATTATAAAAATCTGAAATCCCCTCTAAAGTCGTTCGGCTTCACTCAGACCTCCCTAGGCTAGAAAGACAGTGTCATTTTATTTTAGCAGCTTTTGGGCAGAGTGACCACCTGTTCAAGAAACTGCAACCACCAGCAATTCTTGAAGTATATGACCCTGCAGAGTTAGTGATTTCACACATTTTTGCCTATTTTAGTGTGCAAACGTCCCACCTATGAGACAACTTTCTCACCCTGTACTCTTTGACGTAAGGAGAACAAAAGTGAACTTGTATTATTTGTAGGGCTTTCTTGATGAAGAGGCATTTTTTATTTTACTCCAAAGAAATCCAATTTTAATAAACCTGACACTTGGAAAAGCACCACACACCACAGAATTTAAAGTCTGAGCTAGTTTGGAATGCCCTCTCTCAATGGGTCCACATATAAATACTTAATCAACTTAACTTAACCAGCAATGATGATTCATTCTATGATCATTAAGGCTGATTGTCCTCAAAATGATGTCACTTTTATTGAGTAGCTTTATGAGCTGTCTGCACTTGAAGGTCAAAGAAGAGAAGTTCAGAAAGGCATTACACTCCACCTTGCTTTCTTGCTACAATAATGCACATTGTGCAAGAAAAAGGACGTAACTCATGAACTGATTCTATTTCCGATCTTATTAGTTTTCTGCGATATCTGATGTAAACCTTCTACTTATCACAAGCTTTCATACTGATATTAAAAAGTACACCAAAATAACAAAAACACTAGAATAATCTATGGAGATTAATGAAGCTTGTAATTGCTTGAGAGCATCACCTTAACTACACAATAATAATACTACTAAGTTTCTGCCATGCTTTAAGGAATTATGTTCTGCTTTAATCTTTAATAAAGCAATAAAAAGAAGATTAGTGAACTAATAATTATTTCCTCTTAAAATTGCTGTATCACTACATTTGTGTTGTCATAAAAACAAGAAAAAACTGGTGTGAAATAATTATAGGGCAGTTATAGTTTTAGCAAAAGTGGGAACATTTTGTATTCATTTAAATTTTACCTTGTAGTTCTACATTACAAGTCGAATAAACACTGAAATGCCTGCGCAGTCATTTGAAGCTCAACTCTGCTGGTTACACAACAGTGTGAGGATGTCAGTTTCATTCAAAATATAATGTGTTTATCCTTATTCCTACTCCACACAGATAAACTCTGATCCATCAGCCGCATTTCTAAAAATCTTTCCTCAAAATAGTGTGTGTGCATTTTTGTGCACATGCGCTTATGTGTGTAGTGCCCGGGGATTAACTCCACACCGTTTAAAACCATCTGATAATCTATTAACATGGCAAAAACCTGGTAAAGACCCGACATTTAGACTCAGCGCGCACCAACACACATTTCTTTCAATGCCATGCACAAGCGCAATACTGTTTTCTGTAATGCTCTTAAACCAGAAACAATTTCCATTTGACAAACCTCCATGGGAATAAAGGGCAGACCAGAGGAAAAACACAATAATAAACTGATTAAGGCTGGAGTAAGCAAATTTTTTTGGTATCATTGGACCAAAGAAATGCTTATAAACATTTTAGCATATTGTGGGAAATAAATTCGTGCACCTCCCCTCCACTCCGATTTCACTCTTTATAAAGGCTGGCTTGTAACAAGAGACTTTGGCCATTCACAGCTGGTCCCTTTAGATCAGATCAGAGTAGTTTAAAAAACAAAAAAAAACTATGTAATGGGAATAAGAGCTTCATTGGACTCATGTGAGTATTTTCAGCTGGGAAAGTGGGATTTTAATTCCATGTGAATTCCAAAGTCAGCAATGACTCACTTTAAAACAGAAGTGTAAGAAGTATGTGAATGGGTCCGTGCTTGTCTGGTGGGAGGAGGATAGAACAAAATAGCAGAGCTGCAAGAGCTGCATTCCCCTTAGATTTATGCCAAACCCTTGAAGGGGACCTATTACACTCCAACACTTTACTCTTGGACTCTACTACACCAACATTACATTGTTCGAAATCCAAATATTCCACATTTCTCTAATGCTGGGACCTGGCATATCCCCTTAGTTCGTCTGTTCTTACACTGCAGTATGAACTATTCTGATGCGATGACATCAGTTAAGTAGAGCTGAAGCTCCTATTCCTTAAAGACCACCCTCTTTTTAGGCCAACTTTCTTCTGCCCAGGAGTTGCAGGATTTTTTTGTCTTTTTTTGACAAAATATTTTGAAAATATTTTTAGCATTGAAGCTGTTCCTAAGAGTTAAATTAAGATACTGTTAAGGTCAAATGGGTTCTTACGTTTAGCTGCCAGCCTCAGACACTGTGTCTTTGTTTCCTGTGGAAAAAAAGACAGAAGGAAGAAACCTTAGTTCCACTAACACACTACAACACGAACCTTGCTCTTAGCGTTTAATATTAAATACTGTACATAATGAGTGTACAGAAGCTGCAACATAATGTAAGTCTATGAGTGCGCCTTTTTGAACCTCATTCAAAAAAATTAAATACACAGCCTACCCTCTCTGTACTGCTGACAGCTTGAAGATAAATGTTGTAGTTCTTCCTTGGAGCCAGAGGTGGATTCCAGAAACCCTGAGGAAAAGAAAGAAGGATCAGTTCACACATGTCTACGATACATTTACAGATTTACAACAAGCAATTTTACTTTTACACTTGGCTGAGAAGGATATCGATATGTAAACATTCAAATTATGTAGCCTTTAAAAAGTATTGCATACAATTTCTATGAACTTTAAGTCGTATCGTTTTTAAAAATAAAACCTCCTGCATAACAACAACTGCCTTCTAGTTCCAGTGAATGTGTTGTGCTGCCATTTACTTCTGTATTTCAGAATTTTTGATAAACACATCTTTTCAAGGCATTACATACATACGGTTTTGTTCAGATTAAAGACTTGCCTGATACGTCTTGTTGTCTCCCACAGTAAAGGGAAGTGGTTCAGGCAGGCTGCTGGGGGACAACTGGGCGGCATAATAATAAGGGGATCCACCGCTAGATGCACTGTGGTAAGAAACTGGGACCTGGAGAAGATGAAGATACGTCTATAAATGTAACTTCAATTAAATGTAAATAAAAAGAGGTATTTTAATAGCAGAGTCAACAAAGCCCATTAATGGAAATTTATTGTTATTTTTTATTCAACTTCAACCATTTACGCTTATAAGAAAAGCTGTAAAAGGGGCATGGGTTTTCAAACATACGTAAAAAGGATTAATAACCACCTGATAACAGTCAGACGAAGCCTGACGGCGTGTCCGCTGAGGATTCACTTCTTCCACCACAATCTGGTACGCACTGTAGACATAGAGACAATATGAGTACAGATGTAATTTTGGTTGTTATTATTTTACTAACACACACATGATTAGTGAAAAGCCTTTGACTGCTTTTGTCATGTGATCTATCCAGTTTAACAGATAACAGAAGTGCTGTACCTTATGGGTGCTCCCTTAGCCTGGGCAGGTTTGAGCAGGACAGTGATAGTTGTTGCAGTTTCATTCAGGAAGGCCTCTTGACCATCGTACTCGTCTATTGTCGGAGCTGAAAAGAGAATATGAGGCTGCATAAGTGTAGCTCTAACCTCTTGCTGTCTAAATGTGATATTAAAAATTTTTGAGTCAACAGCACATATTAAAATGTATTTTTTCCACCTGAAATATTAGTTGTCACATTGAGCGTGGTTGCAGGACCAAACCCTTTAGAGGTCGATGCTCGTATAGACAGCTGGTATGTGACACCTGGGTGGAGCTGAGAAAACATGTGATGGGAGGCGTTTGAAGGCAGTGATACTGTGAGCCCTGGTCGTTGCAGAGGCACCGAAGGGTCAAACGAATGCACGCCACTGTAGCTGATCTGAGTTGGAGTAGAGAAAGCAAAACCATTTTTTTTTATTTGTTTATATTTTTCCAAAGGATTGCTGTGTTAAGTTTGGCCTCTACAACAGCTGCTAATGATAGTACCTCATACTGTATAATGACTCCATTGGGTTCAGTTGGTTCCTTCCAGGAAAGACTTATTGTTTCTTCAGATGGAGTAGCTTTAAGTGACTGACTGGGAACTGGACCAGGAACTGTTAACACACATAAATTCATGCAGTTCTAATAAAATCAACAGTATAATGTTCTGCAAATGAGAAACCAACTGCTAAACAGAAATACACAGATTGAGAACAGGCAGGAGTGACATTCCCAACACATGCAGAAACGAGTTACAGATACTCAAAACACCCTTTGTACAAAACTCCATCTCTTATTGAAAAGTTTGCTATATAAAAAAATACATAAAATGGATAAAAACGTTTGAAATGGGGAAAAGAATAAAAAAAAGGTGTGATATGTGTATCGTACCATCTTCATCGGTTTGTATGATGGTCTCATCACTCTCTTTCCGTCCCTCCGGATTAGTGAGAATCATTTTCAGGCTGACGTTGGTGTAGGGCGGCAGGTTCCCCACCAGGTGGCGTGGTGCTAAGAACAAAAATGGGGTCAACATAAACACACTGCAGAGTAAAATGTCATAACATTTGCAATGTATTTAGGATCAAAACCAATTTTTCTCACTCAGTAATCTGCTGCTGATTTTATAATGGTCTATGTAATGTAAAATCAGAACTTACGTGTTTTTAAATGTATTGTTAGGTGTGAGTACCGGTAATAGTGTGAGAGCTAAAGGCAGTTTACCACTTGTTTGCTTTCACTGTAAAGCCTTATATTTCAAACGAAGGAACAAGAGAGCTGTTGTCATCTGTCTTGAACCTAAATATGTAATTGATTATGTAAATATTGGCTATCACATTTCTGTCAGTCAGCTACTACATTTATTGACTAACGGATCAATAGCTGAGCAGGTCAAACTGAGTGTATGAGAGACATGACTTCAACCAATAATTAATTATTCGTTTTTCAGGGAATGATTCCAACTACTGTACCTACAACCTATGTCCATTCCAATATTCTTCAACATCAGTGCTTCTGATATTATGTCTGGCTTCAAAATGAAGTGGTTGTCAATACTAGTGTCAAGCTCACTGTGAATAAATGATCCACTCAAATTTGAAATTATACTAAATTTCAGCACTTTTAGGGTTGTTACTTTATCAAGTCTTTTTGTACGTCTTTACCCATGTCACAATGAATAAAAAGCAATGTAACACTAGAAAACACCACGACTTCAAATCCTGCATCAATGTCAGTAGCACAGTACGGTAGCACCTTTAAGGTAGGAAGAAAAGTAAGTAGTACCTTTAGGGTCCATGTCCAAACAGTCAGCTTTGCTACGATCGTTGGCAGTCATGTAATGGTAACAGATGGTAACGTTAAAGGTGTGACAGCGGGTGATGTTGTAACCCAGCGATTCCCAGTCCACTGCGATCAAACGCGACCTGGTCTCAGCAATCTTCAGCCTTTTAGGAGTTCGCATAGGTTCTACAAAATAAGAGAAGAAAGAAGATCTGTGATCTATACATGTTGATATAGATCTATATTTTTTCCAATACTGCAACACTCTAATTGCATCCACAGGTAGGACAAAAAAACCCAAATTATTATGCTTTAAGTAATTAACATTTGAGGAAGCTTTTGAACTACTGCATTTCCATGAAGTAACTATGTTGCCAAAATGACCAAGAGGTCTGTGTCAACATTTTTCCTCACTGGACTTTACAAAAACCTATTTCTTCACCACCCTTGTCAATCAACTATTTCTCAAAAGCAATAGCTTCCATAAGGACACGTCGTTTTTTTCTGTCTTTTATGTGTATTCAGACTGTTATTGTCAATATAATCAACTTTCCCTCCTCGGTGCCCAGGGCTTTAATTACCTTAACTGGCTCATTTAGCTGGATCAATAATCCCACAGTGCCTACACACACACACACACACACACACACACACACACACACACACACACACACACACACACACACACACACACACACACACACACACACA